CAGTCTGTATTTCATAAGGAAATCATATGTGGAGAATGAAGAAATGGTCTAAAATTCATCCAGTAAGATCCCTGAGGCATCAAGTGGGCAGGGTCCAGTACTAGGCATTGGGGAGAGGAAGATGGGATTCTTGCCTCGTCAGGGTTCCTGACCTAACAGATAACTGCGGTGGGGCCTTCACATTGATGGTGAAGGTGATGGTGCTATCTTTCACTCTGTTGCATTTACAGGGGACACCTAGAAGAGCGGGGCCTTGGTGTGTAGTCTCTAAACCAGGACTTGGTCACATCCTGAGATAGACAGGATTATTGGCCCTCCCTGCACCCACACTCTTGCTGTGTCTCTCTGTGGGCAGAGTGTACTTTCCTGTCCCCTGGCTCAGGGATTGGCCATGTGACTTACTTGGACCCATGGACTAGGCAGAAATGAAAGTATGACAGTTCTGTGTCTAGGCTTGGAGAGGCCCAATGAAGTTTCTGGTTGGCATCATATGCTTTCCTCGGGTTGCCACTGCCTCTTCAGCCTGGGCCCCAGAGCCCACCCAGGTGGAAAAGAGCTAGCTAGCCCTGCTGATCTGCAGACTAGCACGGAGAAGCAGTGCTGACCCAGCCAGCAGAGCATTCAAGTACAGCTGGACCAGCCATCCTGTGAGAACCAGTATTCCAGTTCACTGAGTTTGGGGATGGTTTATTAGTTAGCATTGTTGTGGCGAAAGATAACCAATACACGTACTCCTTTATTAGGCTATAGGTTCAGCCACTGTAGTAGAGACCCAACACAGCAGTGGGTTAAATAAAAAAGAAGCTTACTGATCTCTCATATAATGACTTGGTTAAGTACTGTAATCCAGGGCTAGTTTGGTGGTTCATGTGTCAGGGAGCCAGGCTCCTCCTATTTTACTGCTCCACCATCCTAGGGTGTAGCCCTCTCTACATGAAGCCTTTGTATTGTTCACAGGTTGAAGTCTTCATTTCCCTTGGCCCTGTAAGCTGAAACACTCCACAGTGTTTCAAACACCCCTCTCCAGTGCTACACTGGAACACATTAAGGCTCACCTTGAAGCACCATTCCTGCTTCTGCTTCAGACCTCAGGACCTTTCCTCTTCTTGAATGGGTGTGCCTCCTCCCACACCCCCAGGGGGTGCCCCACCACTGTTGCCCAGGTCTGAACAACATCTCACCCTGACTAGGACCTCAGGAGCCAGAGCTGGTCATGCCTGGCGCTTCCCAGGACTGAGAGGCCCTGATTTCCATAGTGGCAGTAGCCAGCCACTGTGACCCTTTGAGACGCCAAGGGTGAGAATCTCAGTCGTGCCTTTTGGTCATCTTCAGTCTGTCTTGCCCTGCCTCTCACACCCTCAAATCCCTGCTGACCTCTGGTCCTGAAGAAGCCAGGGAACCTCTGCTCCACTTCCTGGTTCTCTTTGCACTAACTACGTCAGTAGTTTGGTGAGTTTGGTGAGTCTTGTTAGAATGGTCCCTCTGTTTTGGAGATCAGCTCAGGAGGGGTGGGCATCTGGATGGTAACAGATTCTTTCTCTAAACTCTAGCCAGGCTCCTCTGAGCCCTCTTCTTGATTCAACCTTATTTGGCCTGTGAAGACTTGAACAAACACTAACGTAGTTTTCAGCAGCTCATGACCACTGCCCTAGTAAGACCCCAGTCTCCCTTAAAGTGCCTGCCCGTGAAACTCCAGGCTGTCTAAAGAATTTGCTGCTTATTCCAGCCACCACCTGAAGATAGGGCCCCTGTTTCCCAGCTTCTGTGAGAGAGTAGGAGTCTAGCTTTGGTAAGGGCCAGTTAGCAAATCCAGATAGTTTCATATGGGCTAACCCCTTCCTGCCTTTTGTAATCTTTCGCTTCTGACTATGGAGCCCCTACTCATTCCCTTCCCTAGTCCCTCAATCTCCCTGTGCAATACTCAGTCACCTCTGTACTTATCCAGTTGAGTTCCGTTGACGATGAACCCTTTTCCCTGTGCCACTGCAATATTCTATTACTATGGAAATCTGTCTGGACCACTTTATGTAGTGCCTGGTTTGGTTTGTTTTTGACAGGGGAGATGTTCAGGATCAGCTTTTAAAATTAATTTGCTTATTTTTCAGGATCAGCCTTTTATTATTTTTTAAATTTTTATTTATTTATGATAGTCACACACACACACACACACAGAGAGAGAGAGAGAGAGAGAGAGAGAGAGGCAGAGACATAGGCAGAGAGAGAAGCAGGCTCCATGCACGGGAGCCCGACGTGGGATTCGATCCCGGGTCTCCAGGATCGTGCCCTGGGCCAAAGGCAGGTGCTAAACTGCAGCACCACCCAGGGATCCGAAGATCAGCCTTTTAAATAAGCATCCCAAGGATGTTTGAGTTTAGAGGTCCAAAGGCCACATTTTTTTAAAAAAGATTTTATTTATTCATGTGTGAGAGAGAGAGAGGCAGAGCACAGGCAGAGGGAGAAGCAGGCTTCATGCAGGAAGCCCGATGTGGGACTCGATCCCAGGACTCCAGGATCACGCCCTGGGCCAAAGGCAGGCGCTCAACCACTGAGCCACCCAGGGATCCCCACAAGGCCACATTTTTAGAAACTCTGTTTCCCTATGGGCACCGTTTCCTCTGGCAGCCCTTTTGAATGGGGGCTATGTTTTCTCAGATACCTCACTGCCATTAGTCCATCCAGCTTTCATTCCGTGAGAACATTCTGGAGGCCAACCTAAGAATCAACTCCAAGTGCTTCTCCAGTCACCTCTGGGGATGCTGCATGTGATTGGTATCCAGTATCTGGTACCTTAACCTACTGCCCAGCTAGAATGACACCTTTTATGTTTATGTTTCTGACTTAGCTAACTCTCCACCATGTTACTACTCCATGTAGACAACACCTTCCTTTTAGAAAGACTTTAACACCCACCCATTTGTTAGATAGTATTGGTTGGCTCTTGCTACCCACTTCTATCCCTTTCTCTGCAGGTGCTAGAAGCCCACAAACCACATTTCACAGATTCCCTTGACAGCAGAGTTCTGCCAATAAAATGTACCTGTGTGAAATCTAGGGGGTGAAAAGGAGGTGGAAACCATTATTTCCTCCTCTGCAGTAGCAGATGTGCAGGCTACATATTGGGACTCCATGTTGCCAGTCACAGGCTTGGGACCATGGAGGGCTGCAGTGAGTTCAGCAGTGGGTTCCCGAAGTGTACTGACTTTTGAGTGGCAGCAGCAGCTTTGAATGTATGGAAAGCCCCTGTGGTAAAGTAACCTGACATTCACCACTGCTAGCCCCACAGTGGTGAGCATCCATTCCTTGTAAGACATCATGACTGGAGCTGATACCAAGGGATGGATGCTTAACCATCTGAGCCACCCTGGCATCCCAGAAGTGGAGGGAGTTTTGCTTCTTCCACAGATTGTGCTTCATTATCCCTGTGCTTCATTATCTGTGTTGGTTGAGGAAGGCAGTAGTAGGTTTGGTAGTGGGTGGCGTTGGGAGAGAGCCTGGTAGCACACATCTGACCCTCAGTGGAGTCAGGAGAGGCTAGTGGGGTGGTCCATGAGAATGGGTAAGTGGCACCACCAATATGTTTTCTGAAATAAAGGACTGATGAGGGCAGTCTTGGGTAATTACCACCCTCACACATTTTTCTTTACCCTAGCCCTCCAGCTCCTCCCTGCTAGCTATCCAAGGGTTGGGATTATTATTTTTTTAAAAGAAAAGGAACAAAATACCCCAATGTGAATTATCTATAGCTTGTAAGAATGAAGAACCCCCTATGCCAAGACAGGGCATATATTTTGTGCATGAGCTTGAGCGCTTGGGAAGAAAAAGAGGCCTTAGCCCTACTGTGGAGCTAGGTTCAGTGATCCAAATATTCTGGTAATGCTAAAAATCTTACAAGAGGGGCCAGAAACAGATGATCTTCTATGGGCAGGTCAAGCATGTTGTGAATAACTGGTATTTGGTGAACCAGGGGAGAGAGCACCAGAATAAACTGCCAATTGATTTAATAGTCTGTACACCGGGAGATATGTTTTCCAGTTTTCAGACACTGATTTTATTGGGGAAATGAGGGGAAGATACCCCTATTCATCCTTCCTTGCGGGCACTGCCTCTTGTGGAAGTACAGTCTCCCACGAGGGATTCTAGCTTCAGGCCTGTTCCTCTCACCAATGTCCCCTGTTACCTGTATATACATGTTTATTTCCATTTTAATTCCTTACCACATGGCTAGAATTGGTTATTAATTTACACATTTTTAATATGAGAAAAGTAAGTATTTTACAAGCAATGCTGAGAAGCCAATATCAGAAAATAAACTTTATGGTGGGAGTGTGAACTAGTGCAGCCACTCTGGAAAACTGTGTGGAGGATCCTCAAATAGTTAAAAATAGATCTGCCCTACGACCCAGCAATTGCACTGCTGGGGATTTACCCCAAAGATACATATGCAATGAAACTCCAGGACACCTGCACCCCGATGTTTCTAGCATCAATGTCCACAATAGCCAAAGTGTGGAAGGAGCCTCGGTGTCCATCGAAAGATGAATGGATAAAGAAGATGTGGTTTATGTATACAATGGAATATTACTCAGCCATTAGAAACGACAAATACCCACCATTTGCTTCGACGTGGATGGAACTGGAGGGTATTATGCTGAATGAAATAAGTCAATCGGAGGACAAACATTATATGGTCTCATTCATTTGGGGAATACAAAAAATAATGAAAGGGAATAAACGGGAAAGGAGAAAAAGATGAGTGGGAAATATCAGAAAGGGAGACAGAACATAAGAGACTCCTAACTCTGGGAAACAAACTAGGGGTGGTAGAATGCGAGGTGGGCTGGGTGTGGGGGTGACTGGGTGACGGGCACTGATGGGGGCACTTGATGGGATGAACACTGGGTGTTATTCTATATGTTGGCAAATTGAACACCAATAAAAAATAAATTTTTTAATAAAAATAAAAAGAAAATAAACTTTATAGACAGCCTGAGGCAGGACAAGGTCACTTGAGGACGATGACGGTGCGGAGTTCACTGTCGCTCTCCTCACCCAGGTCTTCAGCAGCTGAATGTGCAGCCTGAGGCTTCTCTGCTGGGGCATCACCTTTCTCTCTGCAGATAAGAAGAAGAATGCCTTTAACTCTGTAAAGGAACAATTAAACTTTTCATAATTAACTCATTTTAGAAAAGAAGTATAAATTGTCCCCAATCAGGTACCCTGGTTCCTTGTTGAAAATCTCATCCTCATCAGAAGAATCCCTGTCGTGTAGCTTCTGTGCCATGTTTTTCTTCCGTGTGGCATTGAGAGGTCTGTACATGTCCCGAAGCCAAAGTGGCCGCCTTCTCCAGAAAAAGCCCTCCTAGAAAACAGAAAGGACATTGTTAATTCTGCATTTCCCCTGCTCTCTCCAGCCATGGGACTTTATCTTCCTCAGATTTACCTGACTCTCACGTTGGATTGAACATCTCTTATGCAGCAGAGAATGAAAGAAGAGCCTTGGAGGAAACACATATGCAGACAATTAGTGATTCATGCCATTTCCCATGCCTCTCACAATGTGTATCTCTGGTCCTATTAGGACATCTCAGTCCATAATCACAGGAAGCAAAATCACTACAGACCCGGGATCCTGAAAATAATCCCATGCATGCTAGACTTCCAGAATTTTCCCATGTCTGTCCATAATGGCCCCACAATTTCTCTGGGGAGGCCTTTGTATGTGGCTTGGCATTGAGTATAAGCAAGATTTTCATCCTGCTCACCTGGGCCCTTGGCCGAGTGCCCTCGTGAAGTGAACAAACTGTGCAAGTATAACACAGAAGCACCTTACTCTCTCCAGAAGCAGTTTACTTTGGTCCCCTTTGGGCTTTGTCTCATAGGCATCATTTGCTGGGGAGGAAGAGAGAGGGGTGTTTCTATTTTCCTAGCTGCTTTATCCTACAGTTCATTCACACCAAATAATTGCACGAGTCCAACCAACAAAGTTACCTAACTCACTGACTTTCTCACTGCAGGCTGTGGCTAATGAGTGGGTGAAAAGGTCACAGCCAGCACTAAAACAGAAATTATTATTTTTGAATACAAACAATATAGAAAAATCAGAGTGTATAGTAAGTTTGTCTTAGAAACTGCTCATGTTGGCACGCCCAGGTGGCTCAGCAGTTGAGTAATTAATGCCTTTGGCTCAGGGCGTGTGTGGTCCTGGTCTGGGGATCAACTCCACATTAGGCTCCATGAGAGGAGCCTGCTTATCCCTCTATCTCTCTGCTTCTCTCTCTGCGTCTCTCATGAATAAATTAAAAAATATTTTTAAAAACCTGCTTATGTCTTGGCAGTATGTATGTACTGAGTTGTGACATAAAATGTAGCTCGCAGCCCAAGAACAGTATAATCAGAGGAGAAGTGCCCCTCTGGAAAGGAACCATCTTCTGACACTCAGTAGCAGTATGCCCATGGGGCAATTTACCTTCCCTTTCTTCTCCATTTCCTTATTATAAAGGGAAGAGACAAACTATTACCTAAGGCCTCTCCCAGTTAACAGTCTGTGGAGTCTGGACAAAGGGAATGGAGAGTGGTGGATCAAAAACTAGGAGGAGGAGGGAAGTTTTCCTGCCACTTTACAGGGAGGAGTCCTATTTTTCTGCCTTCCATCAGCCTTGAAGACTAGCCCTCTTAGACCAAGACTCTGTAGCCAGGCCTGATGGTCACTACCAGCAGGAACAGGTGCATCCAACCCCTCTCCACCCTTTTTCTTTAAAGGAGTAGTGACAGTAGATGCTCTGCGTTACTTCCATTCTAACTCAGATTTGTCTGGGAAGCTAATTTGGCTGGATCCAGGCAAAGCATTAGACCAAATCAATATTCTTTCTGCCTTTGGTAGTTTCCTGGGTGTAAAACAAGGGGAGTGAAATAGGAGTTCTAAAATCTAGTTCTGAAATTCTGCTTTAATAATTGCCAGTTTACCTTGAGCCTCCTTCTTCGTCTTCCACTGGTGCTGCTCTATGAGAATAAATCTGTTTTGGAAGAAAACATATCACAGGTACCCATCTCAATGACCATGCCTCCAAATCTGTAGTCATTCCGTTGTATTTTAAGTCTTATTCAACCTTTTTTGAGGGCAGGAATTCTATTTGTTTAGTAGTCCTTTGACTCTTCCATAGTCCCAACTTGGGATCTTGTGTGCAGCTGGCAATACATTTTATTGACTGTCTTAGATGACATCTAACAGGTAATTCCTAATAAAACTTCTTAGAAGTAAGAAAAGAAAAGTATCTACCAGAAATGTAAATAGCAACATTGTTTTAAAGTCAAGGACAAGAGTAGAATGCCTATTATTCCTGTTACTATTCATCACGTTGAAGAGGTCCTAATCAATGAAATAGGAAAAAACTTCTTTTAAAGATTCCAGGCATCTCAATGCAATAGGAAAAATTAAGTATTGGAAAGGAAGCAACAAAACATATTTGCATATGAAATTATGGACAACCTCAAAGGCCCAAGAGAGTCAACTTAAATTTTACTGTAGTGGGATGCCTGGGTATCTCAGCAGTTGAGCGCCTGCCTCTGGCTCAGGTCATGATCCCAGGGTCCTGGGATCAAATCCCACATCAGGGTCCCTGAATGGGCCCTGCTTCTTCCTCTGCCTGTGTCTCTGCTTCTCTCTCTGTGTCTCTCATGAATAAATAAAATCTTTAAAAAATAGAAAAATACATTTTACTGTAAGTGCTATGAGAATTCAGTAAGGTGGCTAAATAAAAAATCAGGAGCTCAACATGCAAAATGCAATAGCTTTCTTACGTTCCACAAATAACTAATTAACAAATGGAAGAATGGTTCGATTTATAATATCAATAAAAGGAAGGACACCTCGGTGGCTCAATGGTTTAGCACCTGCCTTCCGCCTAGGGTGTGATCCTGGAGTCCCGGGATCGACTCCCACATCAGGCTCCCTGCATGGAGCCTGCTTCTCCCTCTGCCTGTGTCTCTGCCCCTCTGTGTGTGTGTCTCATGAATAAATAAATAAAATCTTAAAAAGATTTAAAAATATCAATAAAAGACATAAAGTACCTAGGAATAAACTTACAGCAAAGAATGGGGAAGACCTTTGAGATGAAAACATTAAAACTCTTCTGAAGGACTTTAAGAAATGAATACATGATGATACCATGTTCCTAGAATATTGCAAAGATGTCAATTCTCCTCAAACTCAAAGCAATCCTATTCAAATCCCAAGATAGTTTTTCTTTTTTTAAAATAAAAACTGGCCAGCTGACATTTGGTAAAGGGATATGCAAGTCTAGCTATGAAATGTATGAAAAAGGAGGTCAAAGAGCATGAGCTTAACTCTAACAGACATCAAAATAGGTTATTATAAAGCATTTGGAATTAAGTATATAGTGTGATATGGGAAAGGAAACTGGACTGATAAGAGTCCAGATAAGAAAAGTATTTTAGAGACGCCTGGGTGACTGAGTGGTAGAGCATCTGCCTTTGACTCACAGGGTGAAGCCGGGTCTGGGGATCAAGTCCCACATTGGGCTCCCTGAGACGAGCCTGCTTTTCTCTCTGCCTGTGTCTCTGTCTCTGTGCGTGTGTGTCTCATGAATAAATAAAATCTTACAAAAAAAAAGAATAGTATTTTAGATCTGTTAAGAAAGAATGAACCATTCAATAAAAGATTTTAAAGTAACTGGATCTTTCTGTAGGGGGAAAATGTTAGATCCCCTACCTCAACCATGCCTAAAAACAAAACAGATTCTATACAGGTTGAAAAATATAAATTATAACAAATATAAGTATAGAAGAAGACAGTATAAAGGCAACAAAGGCCTCGCTAACAAGACCCACATCCCATAGGCCACAAGGAAAGAACTCGCATATACGGTGACAGACTCAAAACATCTCCCATTTCTTGTAGTCTCACCCCTTTCACCCTTGGATTGTTGGTCATCTTCTGGTGACTGATAAAACTCTTTTCATATTAAATATATTAATCCTTTCAGTGGCTTTCACTGAATTTCAGTGTTTCAAATGCTGGCCAGTGTTTTCATCTTTAAGGAGACAGAACAGTGGAATAAGAGCACAGGATTTGCAGTTAAGTAAAACTGGGTTCTGCTTTGGGTTTTGCCACTGGAGCCTTAAGCTGATCCCCTTTTATGTATGAAAGAGGGATGGTAATATTGTCCTCCCAGGGTTGTGGGCATGAAATTGGATATGGAATATTCTTCTTCCTATGCTTGGCATAAACCAGTGTGAAGTCATTATGGAATTGAAGAAAAGGTAAACAGGCAACCTCCAGGAACAGGTGACTATAGACATGACATGCTTTGGAGTAGCCTGATGCAGGATTTTAGCTACAGTATTTTAACCAAAACTATTCACATAATTCAGTGTGTGGAAAAAGCTGCTGAGTAAATCTAATTAATCAACAAGAGGATATTTTTTTATCTTTAAGCCATGTCCTTTTTTCCTGGATGCCTGATATAGCTCCATGAGGGTGGATACTATCTCTCATCATTTCAACCAAGGAAAGAAATCAGTGGTAGTCTGAAAGTGACTGGTGAGTACATCTAACCAATAGAATTTTGAGTTGAAGAAATGTTACTCTCATGTTAACTTGGCCTTCTTAAACCTAATGTCCCAAAACAGTCTAATGGCTTGTTGCCTTGTTTATAATCCATAAATCTCCTGGCAATGGAAAGTTCCTTTAAAAATCCCCAGAATAGGGCAGCCCCAGTGGCGCAGTGGTTTAGCACTGCCTGTAGCCCAGGGTGTGATCCTGGGAACCCAGGATCAAGTCCCACATCAGGCTCCTTGCATGGAGCCTGCTTCTCCCTCTGCCTGTGCCTCTGTGTCTCTCATGAATAAATAAAATCTTAAAAAAAAGAATTGCTTCTCTTTAAAAAAATAAAATAAAATAAAAATCCCCAGAATATACTTTGCAATAAAAGAACGAGGTACATGTCAGTCTGTCAGACAAAAGAGGAATACCAAGTAGTAGTAAGTGCGAAAGTGGCTTTGATTTTAAGTTTGTAAATTCTGAATCTATTATAAAGACAAAAGATTTTCTGGAAATCTGAATTAATGGTTGTTCTTACCTCAATGAGACAGAAAACTATAATCAAAATCATTACTACTACAGTCACAGATATTGCCAAGATGAGTTTGTTGTTATAGCCATAACCTGGAACTTCTTTTGTGAGCTAAAAAAAAAAAAAACAAAAAACAACAATTTTTTCGAAATCAAAGAAACAGGATGAAAGCTAACTATTCTTAAGCTACTCTAAAACTTCATTCTTTCAGAGGAGTGGCTTATAGGTTCTTAAGAAATATACCAAATCTGGGATCCCTGGGTGGTGCAGCGGTTTGGCGCCTGCCTTTGGCCCAGGGCGCGATCCTGGAGACCCGGGATCGAATCCCACATCGGGCTCCAGGTGCATGGAGCCTGCTTCTCCCTCTGCCTGTGTCTCTGCCTCTCTCTCTGTGTGTGACTATCGTAAATAAATAAAAATTTAAAAAAAGAAATCTTAAAAAAGAAATATACCAAATCTAATGTGTTATATAATTTTATCATTAGCCCTTTCTTCGATAATATATTTATCTTGTATGTTACGTCCTCTTCTCATCTACCTGGGAATAGTGGCACCATTCTCTAAAGGAGCAAAGTGGCAGATCACTGTCTCAGCCAACATTAATGGCTAAGACAAGACCCAGACTGGGAGGCCCTGGTCCTTGTGCGTGGGTGCTTTAATTGCATGTCCTAAACTGACTAAAAGTTCAGACCCCATGGTTCAGGAGTTATCCTCACCTCACTTGACTCCTGCCCTTTCTGTTCACTCTGGGCTTCTGTGCTCTCATTGATATAGTTCTCTGTCTTCCATTGGTCTGTATCCCACTCTGCCTTGGACACCTTTACTTCCTGCTGCTCGCTGAGAAGCTTCATCAGGAGGCCTGTTCTGGAGATAAGCTTGGCACAGGCCAGTTGCACATTGGTCTCAGAGCAGTCCATTTTCAAAGTCCGGATAACATGAGAAATGAGCCTTCTCACGTCATTATTCGGGATGAGGGACCGTAGCTGCTGGTTTAGCTGAATTTCAAATAGATCACCTGCGGATGAGAGCTTTGCAACACTGAAGCCTGTGGGCTTTGGGGGCAAGTCAGGGACCAAGTTGTGGTATTCCCATTGTGTTTCATTGGTTTGTTTAACAGTCTGAACAAAGTTGTCTCTGGTGGTAGTAGAATATGTAGTGGAAAGATTCCTACGGTTTGTGAATTCAGGGGGAGTTTGTTCTGATACAGTAGTGCTTCCTGGAGAAATAATCTCTTCAGAAACATTCTGTGCAGTAGTGTTTTCTACAGTAGTGTTTTCTTTAGAAGGTTCTGAAAGAGTAAATAATTCCGGAAAAGGATTTTCCTGAGTCCGTTTTTCTGAAGATGAAATAGCCTCCTGTGAAGGGGAATCTATGAGGCTCCTGACTGCAGGCAATGGAGGCCTCTGTGCAGGCATCAGTATATTCGAGAGTGAGTTTTTCTTTCTGAACTTTTTACTTTGTTTGGTCTTGGGTGTTCTTTGGACTATACGTGAGCGAATTTTATGGAAAATATACTTTTTCCCAGAATGTGAGACTGGTCTGGAAGCCTCCATTTCCCTGACTCTAGCATTCGCATCTTCTAAAACAGCAATGGGGTAGGTTAAGTCTTTTGATTGGTTTCTCACCTTAGGTATGGATTTTGGAGCAGTGGAGGCAGAAGGCCTGCCCATTATGTATTGCTTCGGGAAAGAAGAGGCTGCTGCCTCGTGCTCCTTTATGAATGAAGGCTCTGTGTGGACGGAGTTTCCCACTAATTTCCTGGGCCTCTGGGCCATGCGAAGCTCCTCCAGCTCCCTTGGGGATGGTCTACTGAGCCTTCTTTCTTTGGCCATGTTCTTCACAAATGACTGGGCACTCTGTTTCTCTTGGGTGCTCTGAACATCCACTTCCTTGTAGTGCCTTTTCTGTAGGTCCTTGGGGCCCTTGAGAACCCTGTTTTTTCTAAACCGCCTCTTCCGTACATTCTTAGCCTTGGGAAGGCTCTTTTCCTGTCCTTGGGCAGTTTCCAATTTCTTTGGAAAGATTTGGCGTTTAAATTTGGGACCTAAAAGCCCGGGAGGTATAAGCACGGCAGTTTTTTCTTTCTTTTTTACCTCATCAATTTTTTCTTGAATTTCTGCATCTAACAAATTTTCCAGGAAAGAGAGTTTCCTCAGTTTATTTTTGTAAGTTGAATTGTTGGGTCCAGGTTCAAGAGAAGGGCTCTTTGTGTTGTTTGTCAAGTAACCCACAGACTTGTCTCCATCTTGAACATTTGAAAACAGAGTTTTAATGAATGGTAGTAATGTTGATTCTACATCTTCTACATTTCCCTCTGAGAAATAAGGTAATATGTAATTCAGCGCACTAATAACATCACTTTCATCATTAAAGTCTAGCTGCTCATTCATAAAAGCTGACAGACCGATGCCATTTTTGTCTGAGGATGCCTTCTCTGGCTCAATTGTCAGCTCAGTACTGGTACTCTTCTTCCGGGCTTTTAATACCTTCATGAATGATCCTTCTACATTCATTATAGATACTTTTTCATCTGTCAGAAAAAGAAGAAACTAGTTTTGATAATGAAAGGCTGATAGCACAGCTTTTTGTCAGTCTGCAGTCATACATCCCAGTCATAAAAATTAAGAACCACCAAATATCTGAGTACCATTATCAAGGACACAAACTCAAACTTGAACCTATATTGGCAACAACAAAAGGAGAAAAGGGTAGTTTTTTAAATGGCTCTTTCTTCAGAACCTTCCACAACGTGAATAACTACATTTAGGATTATTCCATAACCCTTGGTCTCCAAGGGCCAATTATCTAGTACTTAAGAAAAGCCAAGTCTGGAAGACACTGAGCTAAACTGTCTGCAAATCTACTGTGACTCCTGGTATTCATATACCCTGTCCTGTACTGCTTCAGATGCAGTGGGAGCAGGGGGTTTCCTCCTTCTGTCTCTTCAGTGTGCTTGTTTTCTTGCTACTATCACAGATGCCCATGAAAACACCCACTGCTAGTAGGGCCTCATCTGGACATGCCCTCTCCATCTACCCATCAATTACTATGCTTGGCCCCTGCTCCCATATATTGCAGCTCACACAAAACATAAGCTCCAGACAGAAAAAAAGCACTAAGTCCACCCTGGCTCTTTGCTTAAATTGGGCAGGGAACGAGTGTAGGCTAAGAGATTTTCCAGGTATGAGAGATATGCCAATGTGGAATGTTTGATAAATCAATGGAATAATTCTTGAGGTTTTAAAATGCAGAAGGGATAAAGAAATTTTTTGTCAGAATGTGAAGAAATATACTTCACTTTCATTTCTAATATTTCTAGCTTTATTTATTAGGGTACCGTCCAGAGCTTCCCACTACATGAAAGTCAGCAATGCCTTGTGTACATGCACAGTATTATCCAACCGAGTTTCATTTCCAGAAGAATTAGAAGTATTTTCAGCGGTGTTGATGAGAGTCAGAGGAAGAGGTAATAAAGGTCACAAGAAAGGAAGAGCAACGGGCTTGTAGAGAGCCCTAAACGGGACACTTGAGTGCTAGGCAACAGTACTTAACTCTGTTTTTTTTTTTTTCCTCACCTGTGATCTCATTTTTCCTCACCTGTGAAAGGAGGTTAAACATGCCTATTCTGCCCACCTCTAAGAGATAAGGGAGTAATTAGTAAAAAATTGTTTTGAAAAATAAGCAACATTGTATTTACAGAGGTAGCAAAGTGTTATTTATAATGTACCCTAGGTCATTGATAGGGAACCATATTCAAGCTATCTGGGTGCAGAAGCACATTTTGGAAGTCATGAAGTTAGTGCCAATAAAACATAGTATACAGAAAAATACTTAAAAGTGTCTGAGTGTTTTTGGGTAGAAAAGCTGAGGATTCAGAACAAGTTCCGAGTTGGACAGTCCAAGAATAGAAGAGTGCTCTCTATCCATAAGAAGGCAGCAGTTTCTGGTTAGGGAACAGAAACTCTCAGGCTCTGAATAAACTTTATCTATAAATCAGCATCACTTTTACTCTTAATAACTTGTAAAAACAAACAGAATAAACAAAAATATATCTCCACCTGTCATATAAGACAATGGGGACCTGAGATCTGATACATATGAAATCAGTTTACAAATTATGATGCATATGTTTTCATTTGGGAGTAATTAATTTAATAATGTAACTGAGAATCTGACTTATAACAAAGCAATAGTTCTTATAAATTTAGGGATTTGAAGGGTGCCTGAGTGGCTCAGTGGGTTAAGCATACAACTCTTGGTTTCAGCTCAGGTCATGATTTCAAGGTCATGGGATTGAGCCCTGCATTGGGCTCCACAGTCAGTGGGGAATCTGTTTGACATTCTCTCCCTCTGCCCCTCCTTCGACTCACATCTCTCTCAAATCTTTGGGAAAAAAAAGAAATTTAGGGGTTTTAATTCTGAGTGAATAAAAATAATGCAGTGACATCATTAGTTAAAAATTTATCATTGTTGATTAAAAATAAAAATTAAAACATAAATAAAATTTAAAAATTTAAAATATATCATGAGGTGATTCCTGGTTGGCTCAGCGGTTTAGCACCTGCCTTCAGGCTAGGGCGTGATCCTGGAGTCCTGGGATCAAGTCCCACATCAGGCTCCCTGTATGGAACCTGCTTCTCCCTCTGCCTCTCTCTCTCTCTCTCTCTCTCTCTCTCTCTCTCTCTCATAAATAAAATCTTTAAATATAAATTATATATATATATATATATATATATATATATATATATATCATGAGGCAATTCAAACTCACCACAACGTGTGGCATTTGTCAAACATTCACCGTCACAATGCAGCTTGACTGTCTTGCAAACAACCTCAATATTATTTTTGAATTGGCAGAGACAACAGGACATACGGCTAGGTAGTATCCTATAAATGGAAACACAGAGAATTATATTAGTGGTAAAGGGGTTACTTGAGTAGAAGATTCAGGCCAAGGTCTTCACAGGGCTATGCAAAAAGGAATTCTTGAGGCATATGATGGTTGGGTAGGGTTGGGTAGGGACCAGTTGGCCAATTGTTGCTCATGAATATTGTAAATAAAGAGAAGGACAGAGGTGCTCAACCAATAGGTAAGGATGGTAGGGGTTATGATATGCCTAGAATCAGACAGAGATAAAAACTGGGTGACATTGATCAGTAGTTTAGTTCAGAAGTATCTCCTTCTGACCCAAAAGTCTCACTTTGGGTTAAGAGCATACAGGAAGAGGGTAGACTTCTGAGAAGAGTCTGAGTAAGTCTAAAATATGGCCCATATTAAGGATAGAAAGCAATCAATCAAAACTAACCCATAATCTACACAGGTGTTACAACTAGCAGACAAGGATGTTTAAAAAGTTACTATAACTGGGCTGCCTGGGTGCCACTGTTGGTTAAGCATCTGACTCTTGGTTTCAACTCAGGTTATGATCTCAGGCTCACAAGATCAAGCCCCTCACTGGGCTCCTAGATCACTGTAAGTCTGCTTGAGATTCTCTCTCCCTCTGCCCCACCCACGTGTGCTCTCTTCTTTCTCTCTCTTAAATAAATTACAAAATCTTTATTAAAAAAGTTATAACAATATTTCATATGTTAAAGAAAACCAGACTGATGAGGCACCAGGGTGGCTCAATCAGTTAAATGTCTGCCTTCGGCTCAGGTCACGATCCCAGGGTCCCAAGATCGAGCTCCACATCAGTTTCCCTCCTCAGCAGAGAGCCTACTTCTCCCTCTCCTCTGCTCCCCCTGCTTGTGCTCTCTCTCTCTCTGTCAAATAAATAAAATCTAAAAACAAAACAAAACAAAACAATCCCAGACTAAGAAACCCATGTCTCTACTTAGTGAGTTATACAACAACTTCAAGTGGCCTAATATATGCATATGTAGAGTCTACAAGGGAGAAGAAATATAATTTGAAAAATAATAGCCCCCAAATTGTCCAAACAGGTAACCCTAATAAACCCACAAATCCAAGAAGATCAATGAACTCTAAGCACAAGAAATATGGACAAAACTATGCCAAAGCACATCATAATCGAACTTCTCAAGCCATCAGTAAAGAGAAAATGTTAAAAATAAGCCAAAGGAAAAACCTCCACACAACATATAGGGAAATAGAGATAACAATGATAACATATTTCTTGTTGGAATTAATGTAACTCAGTAAAGCAACATCTTTAAAGCAGTGAAGAGGAGAGGGGACCAACAACTATCAAACTAGAATTCTATATCCAGATCTTTCAAAAATAAAAGCAAAACAAAAGACTGAGACATACAAAAGCTGAAAGAACTCATCATTAGTAGATTTACACTGTAGAAAAGCTAAAGAAAGTATTTTCAAGCAGAAGGAAAATGATAGCAGATAGAAATGTGGATCCATACAAAAGAAAGAAGAACATTAGAACTGGTAACTCCAAAGGTAAATACATAAGGTTTTTCTTACTATTTAAATATCCGAATACAATATGATTTCACTTATATGTAGAATCTTAAACAAATGAAAAATGACAACAAAAAGAAGAGAGAAACAGATTCATGAATATGGAGAACAAACTGGTGGCTGTTAAAGTAGAGGGCGGGGGTATGGTCAAAATGAGTGAATATGGTCAAAATGAGTGAAAAGACATAAGAAGTACAAACTTCTAGTTATAAAGTAAGTCTCCAGATGAAAAGTACAATGTAGGGAATATAGTTAATAATACCATAATACACTTATTGTGGTATTAATTGTTCAATCACTATGTTGTACATCTGAAACTAATTTAATATTACATCAACTATACTTCCTAAAGGAGTTAACTTATTGTTTAAACAAAAAAATAATATAGTGTGCTGTTTAGAAGTAAAAGGAAAATGTATGAAGACATTAGCACAAAGGCCAGTAAGGGAGAAATGAAGTACACTATATATTGTAAGGTTCTTATACCAATCATGAAATCATATATTATTTGAAGATAGACTGTGAAAAGTTAAAGATGAACACTACAAACCATTAAACTACTACTAAACTAACAAAACCTGAGTTGTAATTAACTAGCTAACAAATAAAATTTAATTATTTAATTTAATTTAATTATTTAATTTAAAAGTGTACTCAGTCATCCAAAAGTAGGAAGAAAAAGAAAAAAAGAGCAAAACAAAGAACAGATGGGACACATAGAGAGTTGAGTAGCTTTAAATGTAGTCATGTTAATAATTACATTAGGTGCAATGGTATAATCACCCTAATTAAAATATAAAAAAGCAAAAGCCAACTATATGCTGTCTATAAGAATCATCTTCAATAGAAAGATACAAGTAGGTTAAAAGTATAGAAAAAATTGTGCTATGCTAACAGTAATCAAAAGAAACCTTGGGTGGCTACATTACTGTAAGATAAAGTCCATTTCAAAGTAAAAAAAATATCACCAAGGATAAAGGAGGTTATTCCATCATTATAGGAATATCAACTAATAAAAAAGACATAACCTAAAAATTTATGCATCTGATAACAGAACTTCAAAATATATGAAGGAGAATGGCAAAGAGAGACAAATAAATACACAATTATAGTGGGAGATTTCAATATCGCTTTCTAAATAATTGACAGAAAAATATATAGAAAATCAGTAAAGATATAGCAGACTTGAATAACACTATCTACATACTTGACCTAACTGACATTATAGAATGCTCCACCCAAAATCAGAGTACTCATTTTTTTCAAGTAGATACATAATAGTTACCAAAATAGATCATAGGCTCATCTAATACCAGAATTCATGGGTATAAAACAAGCCTCAATAAATTTAAAAGGATTTCAGTCACTCAACATATGTTCTGTGACTACAATGGAATTAAATTAGAAATTAACAGATTTGAAAAATCTCCAAATTATTTAGAAACTAAACAACATACTTCTAAGTAACCCTGCCAGTCAAAGAAATCAAAAGGGAAATTAAGAACTATTTCGTACTAAAACTGAAACCATGCCAACATATGGGATGTTGCTAATGCGGTGTTCAGCTTCCCCAGTATCCACTTTTAAGAAACTAAAAAAAGAAAAGAAAATTAATCATTGAATAAGGAGAAGAAATAGCATAATAGAGATCAAGGCACAAATAAAGAAAACAGAAAACAAAAATAGAGAGGCCAGTGAAATGAAAAGACAGTTTTTATTTATTTATTTTTAAAGACTGTATTTATTTATTCATGAGAGACACAGAGAAAGGGGCAGAGACATGGGCAGAGGGAGAGGCAGGCTCCCTGTGGGGAGCTTGATGAGGGACTCGATTCTAGGACCCCAGGATCATGACCTGAGCCAAAGGCAGATGCTCAACCACTGAGCCACACAGGTGCCCCAAAAGACGGTTTTTGGAGAAGATAAGTAAAACTGATAAACCTCTAGGCAGACTGATTAAGACAAGACAAGAGAAGAGAAGACATAAATTATCAGTATCAGAAATGAGAGGGGTCAGGGATCCCTGGGTGGCTCAGTGGTTTAGTGCCTGCCATCGGCCCAAAGCCTGATCCTGGAGTCCCGGGATCAAGTCCCACATCAGGCTCCCAGCATGGAGACTGCTTCTGCCTCTGCCTGTGTCTCTGCCTCTGTCTCCCCCCTCTCTCTCTCTGTTTGTGTCTCTCATGAATAAGTAAAATCTTTAAAAAAAAGAAAGAAACAGGGGGTGACATGTCCCTTGTTTCTTTTCTTTTTTTTTTTAAAGATTTTATTTTTATTTATTCATGAGAGACACAGAGAGAGACAGAGGCAGAGGCAGAGGGAGAAGCAGGCTCCCTGCAGGGAGCCTCATGTGGGATTCAATCCCAGAATCCCGGGGTCATGAGCTGAGCCAAAGGGAGATGCTCAACCACTGAGCCACCCAGGCATCCCTACAGATATTAAAAGGATAAGAAGGGAATATTATAAAATAATTTGTCAATCAATTCAAGGTGAAATGAACAGATCATAAAAGATGTAAACTACTCAAAAATAAATATGTAACTTAAATATCACTATTAAAGAAATAGAGTGTGTAATATACAACTTTCTCACAAAGAAAGCTTCAAATCCACAGGGCTTCATGAGTGATTCTACCAAACATTTAAGGAAGAAATAATGCCAATTCTACACAAACTCTATCAGAAAGTTGAAGAGAAAAGAATATTTCCCAACTCATTTTTTTTTATGTCAGTCACAGAGAGAGAGAGAGAGAGAGAGAGAGAGAGAGGCAGAGACACAGTCAGAGGGAGAAGCAGGCTCCATGCACCGGGAGCCTGACGTGGGATTCGATCCCGGGTCTCCAGGATCGCGCCCCGGGCCAAAGACAGGCGCCAAACCACTGTGCCACCCAGGGATCCCCCAACTCATTTTTAAGGCCAGGTTTTCCCTTATCATAAGTAGGAGAAGACAGTACAAGAAAGAAAACAATAGACCAATATCTCTCATGAACACAGATGCAAAATTCTAAACAATGTTTCACCATATCAAACAATATATGAAGTTTCTGTATAGTAAAGGAAACAACAACAAAAAAATAAAGACTACCTATCAAATAGGAGAAGATATTTGCAAGTGACATATTCAATATACGTTTAGTATCCAAAATGTATAAAGAATGTCTACAGATCAACACCAAAACCCCCCAAATAATCCACTTAAAAACTGATTGGAAGACAGACATTTCTCCAAAGAAGATGCACAGGGGTGCCTGAGTGGCTCAGTTGGTTAAGTGTCTGCCTTCAGCTTAGGTCATGATCTCAGGGTCCTGGGATCGAGCCCTGGGTAAGGCTAGGTACTCAGAGGGGAATCTGCTTGGGATTCTCTCTCTCTCCCTCTTCCTCTGCCCCTCCTCCTGCTCATGTTCTTTCTCTCTCTCAATAAATAAATAAAATCTTAAAAAAAAAAGAAAACATGCATACGGCCAACAGACACATGAAAAAATGCTCAGTATCATCAGGGAAATGCAAATACAAACCATAATGAGATATCAATTCACACCTGTCAGAATGGCTTAAATAAAAAACACAAGAAACAACAAATTTTAGTGAGGATATGGAGACATAAGAAGTTATGCACTGCTGGCGGGAATGCAAACTGGTACAGCCACTGAGGAAAATGGTATGGAGGTTCCTCAAAAAATTAAAAATAAAACTACCCTATGATCCAGTAATTGCACTTCTGGGTATTTAACCAAAAAATACAAAAACACTAATTCAAAGGGATACATGCACCTCTATGTAGCATTACTTACAATAGCCAAGTTATGGAAAACAACCTACCAGTCTATTGATAGATGGATGGATAAAAAATATGTGGTATATATAAACAATGGGATATTATTCAGCCATAAAAAGAATGAAATCCTGCCACCTGCAACAACATTAGAGTATAATGCTAAGCAAAGAAAGTCAGCCAGTGAAAGACAAATACCAGGTGATTTCACTTATATGTGGAATTTAAGAAACAAACAAAAAAAATGAGCAAAGGAGAGAGAGAGAGAGTCAAGAAACAGACATTTATTATAGGGAACAAACTATAGTTGTACCCAGAGGGGACAAGGGGTGGAGTGATGGGTGAAATAGGTGAGTTCATCAAAATTTAAAAATTAAAAATTCTGGTCTTCAGAGATAGAACAGAATGAAGACAAGCCACAGCCTGGGAGAAATTTGCTAAACACCTGAGAGAAAAGACTTTTTCCAGAATATGTAATATACTCTTAAAACTCAATAGTATGTATCCAACTGAACGATGGATTTGGAGGCACCAGGGTGGCTCAGTTGGCTGCATGTCTGACTCTTGATTTTGGCTCAGGTTATGGTCTCAGGGTTGTGGGATTGAGCCCCAAATCAGGCTCCAAGCTTGGTGAGGAATCCGAGATTCCCTCTCTCCCTCTCTGACTGCCTTTACCCCCACCCCCCACCACATTTGGTCTCTCTCTCTCTCTCTCTCTCACTCTCTCTCTCTCTCTCTCTCTGTGTGTGTGTCTGAGATAAATAAATCTTTAAGAAAAAAATAAAAGGAAAAGGAAAAGAGATTTGAATAGACACATTATTTAAAAAGATATTGGTACATGAATAGACACTCAACATCATGAGCTATTAGAGAAATGCAAATTAAAGGTACAAAGTCTAAAATTTTTTTAACTGAAATATAAAGTAAAGATGTCATACACTGCTGGTTGGAATGCAAAATGGTATGTCCACTTTATTTTTTTTAAAGATTTTATTCATTTATTATGAGAGACACTGAGAGAGGGAGAGAGAGGCAGAGACACAGGTAGAGGGAGAAGCAGGCTCCATGCACGGGAGCCCGACATGGGACTGGATCCTGGGTCTCCAGGATCACACCCTGGGCCAAAGGTGGCGCTAAACTGCTGAGCCACCTGGGCTGCCCTACATCCACTTTAGAAAAGAGGTAAGCAGGTGTTTTGTTTTTGTTTTTGTTTTTGTTTTGTTTTTGTTTTTTTGAGAGAGAGAGAGAGAGAGCAAGCACATGTGTATGAGTGGGGTGGGGAGGAGGGGCAGAGAGAAAGGGAGAGAAAGAATCTTAAGCATGCTCCACGTTCAGCATGGAGCCCCACTGGGGGCTTGATCTCACAACCCTGAGATTATGACCTAAGCCAAAATCAGCAATCAACAATTGGACACTTAACTGACTAACACCCCCCCCATGCACCCGTAGGAAGCAGTTTCTTAAAAAGTTAAATATACACTTAGCACATGATGTAGTAATCCTACCATTAAGTATTTCACCTCCCCCAAAATGAAAGCATATGCTCACACAAAGGCCTGCACGTGACTGCTTTTAGCAGCTTTATTCATCATAGCCAAGAGGAAAATCAGAACAACTCAAATGTCCATTAAGTGATGAATGCATAAACAAACTGATATATCCACACAACTGTAACACTACTCAGTAATAAAAAGGAGTGAATTACGGGTTGATGCAATCACATGGATGAATCTCAAAAGGATTATGCTGAGTCAAAGGAGCCAGTCACACAAGACCTGCATACTGTATGATTTCATTCATAAGACACGGTGGATGGGGCGCCTGGGTGACTCAGCAGTTGAGCATCTGCCTTTGACTCAGGGAGTGATCCCGGAGTCCCGCGATCAAGTCCCACCTCAGAATCCTTGTATGGAGCCTGTTTCTCCCTCTGACCTCTCACTCTCTCTCTCTTTGTCTCTCATGAATAAATAAATAAAATCTTAAAAGAAAAGACATGGTGGAAAAAATACTATAGGGACAAAAATCAGGTTGATGCCTGTCAGGGGCTGATAGTGGGAACAGGGGATTAACTACAAACAGAAATGTTCTGTATCTCAAACGTGGTGGTGGTTACACAACTATATATTTGCCAAAGCTCATTAAAAACTGCATACTTAAAAACAGTACATATTAACTGAAAATTATGCCTCAATAAATCTGACTTAAAAATAAAACAAAACTAAATACACAACGAAGTGATAATAAACATAAGAAAAATCAACTTACAGTTTTTCCAATTCTAGGGACATCATGAGAATGCTCTCAATTGTTGAAAGTGACACCTGTGTTGTTCCCATGTCTCTGAAAGAGAACGCCCAAACATGCATGATACCGAAGACTAAAATTCCACACCAAGTACAAAAAGGTACTTAATAGTATGTGATTATTTAAATTCTGGCTTCTCTGTCAAGCTAGCTCAAGAGTTTACTTGCTATGGAAGATAATTTCAGAGCATTCTTATTGAAGAAATTAAAATTTATGTGCATCACGAACATAATCACCTTGGTGCTAAACAGTACAATCTCTTTTTACCCTTTTTCTACTCATTCTAAGTTGCATCCACCTTTCTTGATTAGTCTTTTGTTTTAAATAAGGTATACCTTATTCCAGTTTGCTTTTTGAGATAAATGATATTTCTACATATGTGGTAAATATTTCCATATACACCTGCATGTTCCATATCTCTATGTGTTCTTCAATACTGCTCTCTTCTACTACAGGCTGTCTTGTCCATATACATTCTTTCTTTGCCAATAATTCTTACTGCAATAACCCAGCTAAAATTTAAATTATGACTTTTTATTCAAAATGCAAAAGATTTAATCTTTGACAAAAGTAAAAAAAAGAGCAGAAATCATCTCATGAGCCATGAGATTGTTGTAATACTTACAAATATTTTAATGCTGGCAATTTAAAAAGATATGAATCTTCAACAGTTGTCAGAGGGTTACGACTGAGAATTCTGAAAAATGCAATGGAATTAAAATTATCTGCATTTTAAGTAACTACCATGAAAATTTATGTTCATTTTTTTTGGTATGGAACTTGAAGTTTAAAAGCAATCATTTTCTGCCTTTGCCTATAAATCACCCTTAGAATCTGTAAAACATTCTTCCTTTGGGCACTACCCAGGTCTCTGAATGATAAAGTGGGAAGAGAAAGAGAGAAAAAAAAATTTTAAGTGGATGGCAAAGAAAAAATATGCCAAAGAACATTTCAGGTTGAAAACCTCAGAAGTGACTATACCAGTAGGAAGTAATTTCTGTAGGAAATACTATTTCTAGTGTCCTCCATAATTCAAAGTGCTTTTCTTTTATCTCTAGAAAGTTTAAAAATCCTACAGTTTAAACCACCCAGTTAAAGACAAAAAGGATAACCAATTCTTCAGTTTTGGAGCCAAACAAGAAGGGCTAAATCTATGAGCAGCCAGTGAAAGCTATATTCCCACCACATAGCCTGTGTGTATTCTTGCATTACAGCCTTTGTCATGGCATGTATCACCCGTTTCCTTATCAGTCTCCTGGATTCTCGGCTCCTGGAGGGCAGGGACCATACTTGATTGTCATGTTGTCCCTGTGCCTGACATAGTATAGTGCTTGTTATTGACTATTTAATGTTTGTTGAATAAAGGACATCTTGTCATTTTTTGACACAAGCTTTTATTCCAAAATGCTTAACAGACCTTCTTCCCAACTCTTTAAAACAAAAAAGGTAAAAGAAATAGGAAGAAAAGAAAAGACAATCTGCCTTGAGGTTGACTCTACTCAAGAATCATTAACTATACTTTTACCAAGTATTAGAAAGATAATCTTCATAACCAATACTATTATTGGGCTGTAAGGCATCTGTGATCAGCATTTCACATTTAATCCTTATAATAACCTTATGTGATAGATACTATCATCACCTCATTTTACAAATGAGGAAACTGAGGTACAGAGAGGTTACATAATTTGTCCGAGGTTGTCAAGCCAGTCAGAAGCAGAGCTGGAATTTGAACTGAGTTCTGACTCCAAAGCCTGTGTTTAACTCACATGAAGAAAAGGGGATTTATAAAACAGCGGTTACCATAAACTTTGAGAGCACTAAATATAGAAACTGTATTCATGTTGAACTTCATCTCTCCATCTGGGAGAGCTCCTCTGAGAATTACATTTTCTATTTTTATTCCTTTTCTCTAATCGACTCCCATGATGAAGTATTTAATTAGCTGATGGTCATTGAGACTTTAGGTATTTTAAACCATGTTATAGGTGAATCAGTGAAAATGGGAGAGTGAGGACATTTGAAAATTCATCCCTCCATAAAAGCAACGACAATGACAAAAACTGGCAAACATAGAATCAATGTTTTCATCATTTTGGAAAATTTAACCAATGGGCCTACAGCAACCCAGAGAGCATTAATTAAGGGAAAATGTATTAATTCTATAAGAACAGTGAGATCTGTTGTTTTAACTTGTTCTAGACCTCTGCTCTGTATCCTGATGGTAGCCTTGAAAAATAGCCCACATCCCAGGGGAGCAAAATGGAGCTGGAGTTCCTTAAAGCCTCCTTCCCAAAGAACTGTCATTGTTTTACCTGTCTACTGAGTTTCCTGGAAAACTTCAATTGAGAACCTTGTCCTTGACCTCATTGAAAACTGCACAATGCTAGAAGCCTCTTCTTCTCAACGGGCATTTAAAATATATATATATATATATATATATATATATATATATATATTTATTCATGAGAAAGACACACACACACAGAGGCAGAGACACAGGCAAAGGGAGACAGAGAGAGGCAGAGACATAGGCAGAGGGAGAAGTGGGCTCCATATGCGGAGCTGGATGTGAGACTGGATCCCAGAACTCCAGGATCACGCTTAGAGAGGAAGGCAGACACCCAACCGCTGAGTCACCCAGATATCCCAAGGAGCATTTTTAAAAACAATTACAGGTAAATGTTTTAAACTGGCAGCTGTGTAAGGCAATGGATAACAGTTGGGACAAGAAAAACAAAAACCCTAATCTAAAAGTTTAAAAGAAAAGGCTGAGAAATGAGATATCCACAGAGAGTTTGAAATGCTCCAACATATTCCTGGGAAACTAGAAGACCACAAGACATATTCCTAGGAATGTAGAAAAAAACCTTAGCACTAAGAAATGGGTTCAGCAAGGTTGCAGGATACAAGATCAATATATAAAAGTTAGCTGTATTTCTATGTATTAGCAATGAGGAATCCAAAATGATTTTAAGAAAAAAAATTCCATGTATAACAAAATTAAAAAGAATAAAATACTTAGGAAAAAATTTAACCAAAAAGTATAAGACCCATACACTGAAAACTACAAAACATTGTTGAAATTAAAGAAGATTGAAATAAATGGAAAAAATGCCATGGTCATGGACCAGAAGAAAATATTGTTAAAATGGCAGTATGCCCCAAACTGAACTATGGCTTCAGCACAACCCTTATCAAGATCACAGCTGACTTCTTTCCAGGCTAATTCTAAAATTCTTATATCAATTCAAGGGACCCAGAATAGCCAAAAAAAAATCTAGATAAAGAACAAAAAAGTGGGAAGATTCACATGCTCTGCTTTCAAAACCCAATTCAAAGCTACAGTAATCGTAGTGTGGCACTGGCATAAGGATAGACATATACAATCGGAGAAGGACAAACATTATATGGTCTCATTCATTTGGGGAATATAAATAATAGTGAAAGGGAATAGAAGGGAAGGGAGAAGAATGGGTAGGAAATATCAGAAAGGGAGACAGAACATGAAGACTCCTAACTCTGGGAAACAAACTAGGGTTGGTGGAAGGCGAAGAGGGCGGGGGGTGGAGGTGAATGGGTGACTGGGCACTGAGTGGGGCACTTGACGGGATGAGCACTGGGTGTTATTCTGTATGCTGGCAAATTGAACACCAATAAAAATAAATTTATTATTTAAAAAAATAAAATAAAAATGCTAACACTGGAAAGAAATGTAAATCTCTGATGTTCTGTAAATTAAAAGTGAATAAACTGAGTGTGAAGATCAAAAACAAAAAGGATAGACATATAAACCAATGGAACAGAACTGACAGTCCAGGAATAAATCCTCACATTTATAGTTTACTGATTTTCAACAAGAGTGCCAAAGCAATTCAATGTGGGAAGGCTAGTCTTTTCGAATGGAGCTGGGACAACTATATATTCATATACAAAATAAGGATTCCTACACTTCATTCTATATATAAAAAATTAACTCAAAATGGATTAACCTAAATGGAAGTGCCCAAGCTATAAAAACTCTTAGAAATCTTTATGACCTTGGATTAGGCAAGAGTCTCTTAGACATGACACCAAAAGCACAAATAATAAAAGGATTAAAATAGACAAATTGGACTTTATAAAAAATTAAACAGATTTTTGTGCTTCAAAGGACATTATCAAGAAAGTAAAAGACAACTCACAGAATGGGAGAAATATTTGCAAATCATATGTCTGATAAAAGTCTAGTATCCAGAATATCCAGAACACATAAAGAACTCTTACAACTCAATAAAAAGACTAATAATTGAACTTTTAAATGGGCAAAGCATTTAAAGAGACATTTCTCCAAAGAAAATACACAAATGGCCAATAAGCACATGAAAAGATGTTCAGTGTCTTAAGTCATTAGGGAAATACAAATCAAAGCTATAATAAGATACTACTTTATACTCCCTAAGATGGCTGTAATCAGATGGAGAATGATAAGTGGTAGCAAGATTATGGGGAAACTGGAATCTTCATACATTGGTGAGAACATAAAATGGCATAGTTATGTGTGGAGCACAGTTTGGCAGTTCCTCAAAAGGGTTAGACATAGAGTTACTAGGTGACTCAGCAATTCCACTCCTAGGTATGTATCCAAGAGAATTAAAAACATATGTCCACACAAAACCATGTATGTGAATACTCATAGCATTATTAATAATAGTCAAAAGTGGAAACCACTGGCAATGGTCCAATAACTGAGGAACAGATGAACAAAGGTGATGTGTCTATGTAAGGGAATATTATACAGCCTTCAAAAAGAATGAAGTGCTGGTATGTATGCTACGACATGGAAAAACTTTGAAGCTAACACGTTATGTGAAAGAAGCTAGACACACATTTGTATGAAATGTCCAGAAGAGGCAAATCTAGGATACAGAAGGGGAATTAGTTGTTGCCTGGAGGAGGGAAGAAGGGGGTGGTCACAGCTGATGGGTACGGTATTTATTTTGGGGGGTGATGAAACTGTCCTGGAATTAGGGTGACTGTTGTCTATCAAAGTATACCACTGGACTGTATACTTTACAATGTTGCATAGTCTATTATGTGGATTATATCTCAATTAAAAATAAAGAACTGGGGATCCCTGGGTGGCGCAGCGGTTTAGTGCCTGCCTTTGGCCTAGGGTGCGATCCTGGAGATCCGGGATCGAATCCCACGTCGGGCTCCCGGTGCATGGAGCCTGCTTCTCCCTCTGCCGGTGTCTCTGCCTCTCTCTCTCTCTCTCTCTCTCTCTCTCTGTGTGTGTGTGTGTGACTATCATAAATAAATAAAAATTTAAAAAAAATAAAGAACTGTGATGTGATAAATAGAGCACTGGGTGGTAGAACACCAAATATGTTGGTAGGTGGAGAAAAGAAGAGTAAAGACTGGGACTCTTCTACAACTGAGGTCAGAGGGAGCCAGTGTTAGTGAGGTTGGGAGACATAATTTTTGGTGGGGGGAGCCATACATTTTTGTTCTTGCCTTGGAAACTCCCCTATTCTTCCTATTCCCATTCTTCTAGATTTTTTTCAGTACCATTAATGTATTGGATTTGTAATGCTAGTTATTATTCAGCAAGATAATGAAGAGGAAGGATATGAGTGTCACATGTCTGGTTAAGCACAGTTCCTCAACTTTGAGACGTTGAATGTCCTTTGCTTTTATTTTTATTTTATTTTTAAA